CGCGGCACACGCCGTCGGGGCCGGCATCTCCGACCGGCTGGGCTGCCCGAGCACCGTGGCCATCAAGCAGCTGAAGGCCGCGCGCATGACCCCCACGCAGGTGACCCTCTTCCAGAACGAGGTGGCGCTGATGTGGCTGCTGCGCGACGCGCCGAATGTCGTCCGGCTGTACGGGTACAGCGAGCAGCCGCCGGCCATCGTCATGGAGCGCTTCGACACGGACCTGCAGACACTCCTGCACTCGGACGTCCCCCTGGACCAGGGCACCATCTTGGACATCTGCCAGCAGTGGGCCTCCGGGCTGGAGGCCATGCACGCGCAGGGGATCGCCCACCGGGACTTGAAGCCGGGCAATGTGTTTGCCAGCCAGCGCCCGGACGGCGGCTGGCGCGCGGCCCTCGGCGACCTGGGCACCTCGCGCAACCTCAGCACCGACCGGTCGTCCACCCTGGTGAGCCAGGCGCCGGAGCTGAACGCCCTGACGGCACGGTACGCCGCGCCGGAGGTGCTGGCCGCCTTCCACCGGAAGCGCCCGCTCGACCGGGACCACTACCTCCCGGCGGACATCTACAGCGCGGCCATCATGCTGTGGGAGTGCCTCCACCGGGCCACCCCCTGGGACGGTGCGCTAGCCGGCCCCTCTCGCCCCCTCCACCCAGCCCCCGATGTATCTGACCCGGCCGCAATTCTGTCACGCACACACACACACACGCACGCACATCGGCTCAGGTGCCGACTTCCAGACCATCTCCAGCTCGGTGCAGGTGGGCACCCGGCCCGGCATCGCCGCCGGCGCCAACCCTGGCCTCGGGGCGCTTGTGGCCCTGTCCTGGGACTCGGACCCGGCGCAGCGGCCGCCGGCAGCCACCTTCCGCGTCCAGTGCGCCTCGGCCCTGGCACTCCGTGGCTGAGTGGTCGCGTGGCTCGGCGGCATCCTGGCCGCCAGCCCCCCCCCCTCCCCCCCGGGTTGTAGCTTCTTGGCCAGACAGTCAAATACATCTCTGTCGATCAGCAGGTGGGGGGCCACAATGGAATCACCCAAGTCCCGGGCAGCGGGGGGGGGGGGAGACGCCCCGGGGCTGGCCAGGCGCGGGGGCCGGTGGCCGCCGGCACCGGGCACATCACACGGGCGATCATCCGTCGCGAGCCACAGGCCCCTCTGGGCATGTGCCCACGTCATGATCGAGTAACACGTGCATAATGCGCAAAGGCCGGAGCACGCCCGGCGCCCATTGCACCGCCCCATCCCCCGGGACCCCGTGTTTGACCCTTTCATGGCCTCTCCCCCCCCCCGAGCTCCATCCACAATCGGCCCGGGCGCACGGCGACGGCGCGCCCTGTATGAGTTGGCATCTGGCCGCTCTGGAGAAGCCTGCCCCCCCCCTGCCAGTGTGCCAAGCAATGGGCCCTTTTCTGTGGTGGCCGGGCCTTATTCTGCGCAGCGACGATGTGCTTGGCGTTATCGCCGCGCGGCTGTCGGGTCTCCCCCCGGCGATGCGGCCCCTCGGTCCCGGCGTCGGACCCGGGCCGCGAGGGGCGCCATGCCCCCCCCACGCCTGTGTCGGAGGAGGTGCGGCGCCGGGGCGGCCGGGAAAAACCCGGGCCGCGCGGAGCACCATCCCCCCCGCCGCGGTGCGCGTGTCCCCCCGGCCGATCCCCCGCGCCCTCCTCCCTCCCCTTCCCCCCGGGCGCGGCTGTGCGCTGCCAGGCGGCTGGCCGGGGTCGTCCGGACAAAAAGGAGGAGCGCGTGCGTCGACCGGGAATCGAACCCGGGTCTACCGCGTGGCAGGCGGCAATTCTACCACTAAACCATCGACGCCGTGGCGCTGGCAGTTGGGGCGCCGCGCCTTGCTTTAAACCGACGCGCCGTGGCCCCGGGCGCATTTTCCCGCGAGCGCTCCTGTCCCCCCCCCCCCCCGACCCCCCTGAACGTGCTGTTGACTCGAAGGCCGACACACGCGGATGGCGGCCCCAGGCCGGAACGATGGCCGCGCCCCGCCCGGGTCGGGGGAGCCCCGCGCGGCATCCATCTCGGGCCTGGGCCCCGGATGGCCCCGCCCCGAGGGGCCCCCTGCTGGCGCCACCGTGCCAGCTTCCAGCCAGGGCACATCGCCGGAAAAGTGCGGCCGGGCCCGCCGACAGAGGGACGCCCGCTCCGCCAAGAGGGGGCGCCCTGGCGGGATGGCGGCGCCTGGTGCTCGATGCGGGATTGGCCGGCCAGCCAGCCTGCGTGCGGGGGAGCCCTTTTTCACGGGGCTCGCCCACGGAGGGAGTGGGATGCCGGGATCCGCATATACCCCCTCTGTCCCTTGCATTTCCCCTGTCCCTGTCCCCTCCTCCGCCCCTGCCCCCCCCCCCTCCCCCTGCCCCCGCCTCCCGTTCTCCCTCCGCCCGGCCTGCGTACCATGGCCCGGGAGCCGCGCGCCGCGGCCCGAGACAGGGCCCCCGGCCTCCCCCTCGCGCTGCTTCTGGCGCTGCTGCTGACGGTCCTGATGGCGGCGGCGGCGGCGGCCTTCGATCCGGCACACGCAGCCCCAGATGGGGCCCTGGACGCGGCAAGGGCCGCGCCCGCCACACGGCACTACATTCGGGCCGTGTCGCGCCTGCACAGCCAGCTGCTGGTGCACATGCTGGGCGGCCTGTCCGGGGGGGCATTTGCCTCCGGGGTGGCGTTCCAGTCAAACATGTCCGCCGCGGTGTACTCCCAGGACTTCCTCCGGCTGGACATCCTGCCGGAGTATCGGCTTGGGCCGTTTTTCAACGGGGCGGAGGTGAACATGGGCCAGGCCCCGCCCAACCCGATGCCCGACCCGGGGCAGTGGCTGCTCGCGGTGACCCACACCTCCGGCCAGGCGGCGGCCCTGCTGCCGGCCTACGCCGGGGTGTCCTCCCCCTTCCAGATGCACCTCTACGAGGGGCTGCTCGGCCGGGCGGGCCTGCAAACCACCTTCACCGGCGTCAAGGACATCGCCGCGGTGACCCTGTCCTCGCGCGGGGGCGACCAGGTCCTGGCGCTGGTGTTCCACACCGACATGGACATGGTGGTCGTGTCCTTTTCGACCCTCCTGCCCACGAACATCGCCTCGGGCGGGGTCCTGCCGGGCATGCGGGCCATCGCCTCCGGGCGAAGCGCCGACACATTCATCCTCTGGCACGCGGACAAGATCGCCTCGGTGTCGGCCCAGCCGGTGGTCCTCCGCCCGAGGGCGCAGCTCGGCAAGGACATCCTGGACCTGGTGGAGTCGCGGATCCTGCCATGGGCGCCGCCTGGCGGGCCGCCGGACCTGGTGGTCCTCTTTGCCGACGAGCTGGGCATCATCGCCGGCGATGACCTGGACCAGTCGCCGGCCGCCATGCTCAGGCAGCCCCTGCCGCCGGGGGTGACGGCCACCGCACAGGCGCGCATCCTGGCCCCCTCGGGCCAGGCCCTTGCCCAGCCGACGGGGTGGCTCTTTCTGGCCATCCCGCCGGCCGGCCTCTTTCGCCTGGCCCTGTCGGCCACCCCGGGCCCGGGGGCCTGGGACGCGGTGTCGCTGCCGCTCAACCACGAGCCGGTCACCGGCCTGAAGCCGGCCCTCATGCGCCGAGGCTTCGGCGCCCCGGGGGCCTGGGCCCTGGTCGGGCAGTATGTCTACTTCGACAGTGTGGACTTCGGCTGCGTGCCCGGGGCCGGGGCCGGGGCCATCCACGACCGGACCATCCGTTGCAATGGCGCCCCGGAGCCCCCGGACCCGCAGAACATCCTCGGCTGGGACTGTGTCGCCGGCCGGGCGCGCTCGATCTTCTCCCAGGATGGGCGCCTGTGCGCGGCCTGCGCCGATGGGCGCACCACCACCATGCTGCCGCTCGATGACAGTACGTGCCGGAGGGCCACCCTCTGCCGCCTCGGCCGGGCCGACACTGACCACCGCCGCCCGCAGGCACCCCGTGCGCCGAATGCCAGGACCCCCTGTGCCGGGCGTGCGCCAATGTCGACGGGTGCCTTGTGTGTGATGATGGCCACAAGCTGCAGATTGACGCCGGGCCGCCGGCCGGCGAAAGGTGCGTGCTCACCTGCGACGAGGGGTTCCTCGATCGCGGGGCCTATTGCCTGCCGGCGCCCAGGGCCCACCTGAGGGCCTCGGCCGGGGTGCTGCCCCTGCCGGGGGCCGACGCCAAGTGGCACTCGCAGGTGGACCTGGTGGCATCCACGCGCCTGGTCCGGCAGGCCGGCGAGTCGACCCCGCGCATTGGCTGGCTCGAGCCCGGGGCCAGCACCGCCGGCCCGGGGGAGCACCTGCTGCTCTTCCACCAGGACGGCAGCATCCTCTGGGCCAGCGGGGCGGGAGGCATGCCGGATGCCACGGCCCCGCTCGGCCTGTCGGTGGCCATGCCGGGGGCGCACTCGTACCTGGAGCTGGTGGCCGCCAGCCGCCAGCCCTCCGGGCACCCGGTCCTCGTGGCCCTGAGCACCGGCCCCGCTGGCTTGGACTACCGGCGGATCTTGTGCCAGGGCATGCCACCCCCGTCCACGGGGGCTGCCTGCCTGGCGGAGGCCGACCCGGCCGGCGGCGTCCGCCTGCACCACTCGCCGACGTCGCGCCTGGTCCGGGTGAACGCCACCACCGCGGCCGCGGTGACATTGGCCAAGTCGGTGATCCTGATCCGCGTCCGGCCGGACGGCACGGCCCAGCTGGTCGACACCGGCATCTCGGTGTCGGCCCTGCCGGCGCCCTTCCCCCAGCCACTTGCCGACCCGGCCATGGTGGCCATGGGCCAGCTGCTTCATATGGCCGCCCTGAACGCGGATGTGCTGCTGCCGCTGGAAATGCTCGTCGCCGAGGACCCGCGCGTCACGCAGCAAATGCTCCTGGCCATGCCCATGTCCTCGGCCCGGCATCCGACCCTCCAGGCGGTGGCCCTGCCCACCGGCCAGCCGGGCCGCCCGGAGGAGTTCCTCCTGACCGGGCTCCTGGACGCCAGCCCGCCCGACGGGGCCCGGGTCACCTGGATCGCGCAGCTCTACCCGCACGGCCTGCGGCCGCACGGCCGGACCAAGGACATCCCCTTCAACCGGCTGCCCCTGCTGGACTTGACCGCCGCGCCGGCGGTGCGGGACAATTTCCAGGCGGCCCCGGTGCGCCTCGGCCACGCGGAATACCCGAGCGGGCTGCTGCTCCTGCTGGCGGACGGCAGGGTGGCCCTTTCGCTGCTGCACTGCCCGTCGGCCTCGCCAAGCCGGCAGTGCTGGCTCCTGCCCGGGCGGGTGTTCCCGGCGCCCGGCATGCCGGACCCCTCGCTGGTGGGTCTGGTGGCTTTGCCGGCGGCCGGGCCGGCGGGGGCCCTGTCGGCCGGGCCCGGGCGCGGCGTCGCGCTGGCCCTGGCCCCGGGCCAGCCGGCCCTGCTGACCATCGAGCTGGACGTCTGCTCGGCGGCCACCTACTCGGAGGAGTGCCTCGCCTGTGACCCGGCATGCCGGCAGTGCACCGGGCCCGGGCCGGAGCACTGCACCGAGTGCACGCTCACCGTGCGCGACCGGCCGAGTGACATGTGCGTCGGGCAGTGCCCGGCCGGCCTGCACGCCAACGGCCAAGACCACTGCGACTGCCATGGGGATTGCCTGCTCTGCCTGCAGCCGGACCCGCAGGTGCAGGAGTACCAGTGCGTCTCCTGCACCATGGGGATGGCTCTGCTGCCGGTGGACGCGGACCCGCTGCTCCCCCGGGACCGGTGCTATGAGTGCCATGCATCGTGCGCCGAATGCTCGCTGCCTGGCAACCCGGCTGCCTGCATCTCGTGCCCGGCCGGCCACTACCTCCACCAGGGGGCCTGTGTGGCCGCCTGCCCGGATGGCTTCGCCCCGCAGGGGGCCCACTGCGTCCCGTGCCAGGCGCCATGCCTCAAGTGCCCGGCGGGTGTGGAAACGTGTGCCCTCTGCCCGGCGCGGCACTTCATCGGCCCGGCCGGAGGCCCGGTCTGCCGGCCGTGCGACGCCTCGTGCGACCGGTGCACCGAGGCCGGCGCCTGCACCACCTGCCGGAGCAACTTGGTGTTCCTGGCGACCGAAAGCTCGACGCCCTCGCTGTGCGGCAGCACCTGCGCCCCGGGCGAGTATGTCGGCGCTGGCCGATGCGCCGCGTGCGATGGGTCTTGCGCCCTGTGCGCCCAGGCGGCCGACCGGTGCCGGGTGTGTGCGGCCGGCTTCCGCTGGGCCGCGGGCCCGCCGGCGGCCGGCGCCACCGGCACATGCGTCCCTTGTGATCCTGGGTGCGCCTCCTGCAGGGCGGACGGCTGCCTGGTGTGCGGGGCCGGCCTCGTGCTGGGCACCGACGGGCAGTGTGTCACCGACTGTCCGGCCGGGATGTTCAGCAACGGCGAGTCGTGCCAGCCGTGCGACGTCAGCTGCCGGACGTGCGCCGGCGGCGGGGCCGACCAGTGCACCGACTGCGGCGCGGGGCTGGAGCTTGTCGAGGCGGCCCCCGGCGTGGGGACCTGCGTGTCCGGCTGCCTGGAGAGCGAGTATCGTGCGGGTGCTGATT